CAGGGTGCCCAGAGAAGTTGTGGCGGCCCCCTCCCTGGCAGTGTTCAAGGCCAGGTTGGATGGAGCTCTGAGCAACCTGGTCTAGTGGAAGATGGCCCTGCTCAAGGCAGGGGGGTTGGAACCAGATGATCTTTAAGGTCCCTTCCAACCCTTACCATTCTATGATTCTATTATTTTAATTAGGCATTAGTTAAAGATGAGGAAAACATATTTTGCCTTTTATTTGCTTCAAATAGCTGTGGTAGTTTTCATAAAATTAAAAGCAAAACATGTGGCTGAGATCAAACTCAGAAAAAATGCTAACTCCCTTAAAAGGATCTTCTGAAAAACTGAAAAAACAGAATGGTCGTTCCTTGTCCTTACCTCTGCTATCACACTTCAAGTCCAAAACTCTTTGGGGACATCAGTGCTCTTTTCTGTGTATGTTTCTACAGTGTCTACTACATTCGATCTGTGGTATGACTAAGGTTGCTATACAAACACAAAATGAAAATTCCCTCAAATTCTTCAACCAAAACATCCATGTAGATCTAATTAGACTTTTTGCGTATTTAATATCAGCTATGGTCCTTATTTCCCCTCGATGTAGAAACTCTTTAAGCATGTAATTAATTATTAATGTTTGCTGAAACAAAAAGATAGATCTTATCACACTTTTGTGGCGAGTCACTTTCTGTAAAGGTTAAAAGAAGAAATGAAGGTTATTATTGAAGGTATAAGCATTGAATGGGAATATGAGGTCACATTCACCTTTGAAAGAAATCCTCAAACAATTTGTAATTTTAGCAGAAGACAACAACTGTACATTAAATTAAAATACTAATGAGCACAAGGAAAAGATAGCTCAATATGGCAGGTGCTACCTACTGTGACCAGAGGAATAAAGAATGCTTACCTTGGGAAACTGGGAGATTATTCTGTCCCTGCTCACTGGGGGAACCAAATGCATTAGGTTGTACTTCATCCTCCAAATTCAATTAAATTCTACCAGACAGGAAAGGTGTAAAGAGAAACAGTATTCAGGAATTGCCTCAATACAGGGAAAACATATTAAAAAAAAAAAATTAACAGTTCTTGCAGACTCGTCTTTTTTTTTTTTTTTGCTTTCAGTACAACTGGAAGCTCTTCATTTGCGCTAAAGAAAACCTGTTTGTTATGTAAAAGCGATCACTTCTGTGGGCATAGCTGTAGTAGCAACCAGTGGCTTTCTGAAACTACAAGGCACTGGGAGGGCAAAGAATTGTTCACTCAATTTAACATAAGTGCTTGCAGTTTAGCCCTCAAAGGATTTTGCAGTGTTTAATTTAAAAATGTTGCTTATCATTGAAATGCCTCTGCATTAGCCACATTAATAAATGTTAGGGGATACCAGATTTCATCTGGTCAGAAGAAAGGAGGAAAGATGAAGCTGCCCCATTTCTTGGCACAACATCAAACTTTCATCATCATCTCAAAGAATAAATTCAGTAGATAGGCTGACTTGGAGAAAGAATAATGTTCACATGAATATCACAAATGCATTTAGATATCCCACTGGAGACATATCAATTTGGTTATGCAATGAAACCTCGTGGGTTGTTGGGGGAGGGGACCCTTAATAGGGCACCAATTTCTTACTGGCATTCAAAAGAATGTTTCTAACAAGAACATTCATCATGTAGCAAAGCGTACGGAAGGACTCACCGTGCAGCAGTTGATGCAGCAAGATCCCAGCCACACAAACAGCTCAGCCTGCCGCTGCGTGTCCATAGCAACAGGCTTGCAACAGTTCCGTTCCTCCCCTCCTCCCACAGACGGGAAAGCCAGAGTTGGAGTAGTTTAACCATACAGAAGGCCCTCGTTTTAAAAGAACAAACTGGTTTTAGTGGCCATACAGATTCCTTTCATCAGAAACTGTTCCTTAACAAACCCAATGGTCCCCTAATTCTGTATGAGAAAATAGTTCCATTTCCTTCAAAGATAGTTGTATATATGGATACAAAGCACAGGATTAACCCAGCAGTCAAGGAACTAGCAGAGTGGGGCCCTGTTACAGCGCTAATATTAAGCATAGTGGTAATTATAAAGAAACTCCTGAGGGTTTTTTTCAGAATTACAACTTGATTTTATCTCTAGCTTTAGAGGCAAGATGTGCACACCACTAATGAGACATTCTGAATTAAATAAATGTCTTTCTAGTCATTAATAATCTTGCTCTCTACCATACCAAACACTAAAGAAATAAGAAATCACACAGCTCTTTTGTATTGCCCAAGTAATGTTAATTAACTCATTAGTTTAGACAGCATTTAGTATGCTAGATTGTAATTTAGAATTCTAAAAGATTTTGCTATTTATTTCATTAGGATTTAAATTTCCAAATCTCAGGACAAAAGAAAACACTCACATTCTAATAGTCATATTTGGATAACACAGGAACAGGCTTGGACCACTTAATATCCAGCAGACAAGCCTCTCCCATTCCTCCTGCAGACTAAAAATGTTAAAAAAAAAAAAAATCAATTTGGACAAGTAATTTTAAACAATGAGTAAGTATATAACAAAAACCCTAAAGTTGTGTTTTATAGCCTGCCAAAAATAATGCTCAGCAAAATTGCTAGTCCACTACTTAGAATTAGTGTTTTATTCTCTTTTGTGAGGAATTGCTTTTAAATCACTTCAGGCACTCATGTGATCTCAATCATACTGAAACACCCACCTCCCCCCAAAGATCCTGATTTGCAGCTGATGGGTTATTCACCAAAGAAGGTGACATTACAGTATTCATTTGTTACCATATGCATAGTTCTACTTATCATGCTACTTGTGACCATATAAAACTAGGAGATCTAGACTTCTTTCTGTGGTGTGGTCCTGCCCTTTTGGCAAGTTAGAATGACTTTAGGGCAATGTTAATGTCTTAATAGCTCTGAAAACAAAAAGAAAAGCTCTGCTAGTTGGTAAGAGTTTCAAACACCAACTTGCTTTGTCCATATTCTCCTAGTTAGATTTCAACACATTCTGAGCATGTAAAATGTCATGTGTACATAGGCTGACTCACTGCTCATCTCCTAGTGCTCTTTCACAAACTAAGCTACAAAAAAAATCAATTCAGCAACCTCAGTGAATCCAAAGTACAGGACGGACCAAGGCAACAAAACAGGAACATTTTAAAATTGAGAGGCCATCTTCACTTACATTTAGTATATTTAGTTTAAATCTCACACACACAAGAACATATCCCAATTTACCAAATCAACAAATTAGCCACACCATTAGAGAAAAAAGATCAATTATTTAATTAAGAAGTACAAAGCTCCTAAAAATAATGAGAATGATCAGTACTGAGCTACAGACTTGCTCTCCTTACAGAGCTGAAGAGGATTCAGTCACCAGGGAGCACTGGGAATATTGTGTCTCCATGGCATCACAACATTCCTTACATCAAAGTTGCAGGAACAGTAGCACAAGCAGATTCTGTGGATAGACAAAGGAGTTGAGGAAGGCATTCAGAAGCTGTACATAAAATAAGTTAATGCCATCACCACTAACCCAACTGAGTATTCCAAGCTATGGTGAAAGACAAGACAGAACAACTCACTCCAAAAGGGTGACAGCAGAGTTACCACTGAAGGACCAGAGAGGTCTCTGGTCTTCTCCTGCTGCTTCTACATTGAGAAAAGTTCATGTTCTTCCTACTGAAATAAGGCGAAACTTTATGAACATATAGTCAGTAGAAGTCTAATGTAATTTATGAAAATAACCTCTGCTTTAAATAATCCGCTTTAAAATGTTGCAGAAAAATGAATCCTTTCCAGAAAATGCTTTTTAAAGTAGTAATTTTTCTTTTATGGATTTTGAAGATCACTAGACCAGAATCTATTCCTGTGTTGTATTTTAATCCAGCTGATCAGAGTGACGTTGGCTTTGTAAAATCCATTTTAAGAACTTCGATTATTATAATTGTTACTCCAACATAATGAAAACCATCTCAATGACTTCTCTATCTGCACTGAGGCCATAATCTTTCATAGCACAAGCTGTTCAGAGTTGTTTCTTTCCTGATGCCAGATCACATCTGACAATCCAGAGCACCCTTAAATTGTGCTAGCAACGTTGCAATGATACATTCTCCGTGTACCGTCCTTTGAACAACACTCTACTTTTTAGCAGAATCATACAGAAAAAGATGCCCAAGTCTTTAAATACAGTTATGTGAAACTACATAGTGATAACAGAAACCCCTGCTACACAGTCTAGCTGTTTGTAATTACATTCTGGAGAAGACTTTGAAAGAAAATCTAGTCCAAAGCTACTAAGCTCCCTTCAACCCTTGTACCTGAAGGCACTCGCCTGCTGTATCTCTGCTATTAACTCGACCACCATTTTGTTCAATTTGAAATTTTTCAATTTTGTTCAGCTGAAATTACTTGAAAAGCAGGGGGTGAGAAGACAGCTTCCCTCCATGCTTTAGCAGAGAAGCGAGGTAACACGGCCTCCACACTGCAACCCCAAGGCGGCATTCCCCCTCTCTCCTCACACGCTCCCCTCCCTGAGGGGCCGCGCCTCAGGCCAAGCGCCCACGGGGCTCGACAGCAGCGCTCCCAGCCCCGCGCCGGCAGCGCCCCGGCTCCCAATTCGCCAACTACGCCATTGACGCGACTGTCTCACAGCAGCCACCGTCAAAAGCGGTGCTTACGCTGTCGACGCAGGACCGGGCTCAGTGTGCTTGGCTGCGTAGTTTTTATTCACGGAGCGGGACGTACGCAAAGAGCTGGTTGCTGTGGCAACTGGCGCACGCGGGCGCGAAAGGCGATGGCGTAGCTAGCAGGAGCTGCGGAGCGGGAACCGGGGACTGGCTGAGGCGGCGACGAGTTGGTGGGACGGGGCGCCTGAGATTATTTAATCTGTTTCTTTTGTTTTGACGAGAGAAGTGCAGTTGTTTAGTAGTTGTTTTAACTTTGCAGCTTGTTTTTTTGTTGAGCAGTTTTCAGTATTGGAGGTTGCATGCTTCTGTTAGCTGAGCCGTTTTCCTTACTGAGGGAAGCGGGAGGTCAGCCATCACCGATTCTTTCAGACCTTAACGAATTCTGAGGGCCAGTTTAAACTAGACCCCTTTTAAAAGAACGTTGATTTGTTTTTTTAAAAAGTGGCATTTTGTTTGCTTTTCCTTTAATATTATTTTGCACCCCTTTTCTGGCTCGGGACTGCACTTTAACCCTTTGAAAAACATTCCCTCCCTCACCTTGCAATTTTAAGCTTTCTCTATTTTTTTTTTTCTGTTTGTTTTTTTTTCTTTTTTTTACAGCGTTCAGTGGAGAATTAAAATAGATAAGACAGTTCAGCTGAGGAACAGCCATTGATGCTGATGACCGTGGACCATTCCAGCCTCTTCTTTCATAGCTTCCTAACAATGAGCGTGTGCTAAAATAGCTCTTCTGGGACACACACAGTGCACTGTTTAAAGTCAGTAGTTGCCTTTTTGGCACATTGTCTGTCCAGTCACCAGGTACAGTCATTCTGGAGTATTTTTAGGGATAAGGGAGGATCCCTCCCAGGAAAATTTAGTATGGCACATGCTCGTATCTCAGCCAACCTGCCCCCTGATACAGATCCCACAAAAGCTCCTATTGCATTTGGAAAGAGGGCCCTTCCTAAACTGAACGAGGAGTTACAGTCTCCTGAGCTGCTGACTCAGCAGCGGGCATTGATGGCGCTCTGTGATCTGGTCCATGACCCAGAAAATGTCTACCAGGCAATAGAAGTAGGTAAGTGATCTGTTGTCATAAGCTTGGAGACCGTGGGGGGAAAAAAACCCCCACACTTTATTTTTGTGCACTGCTTTTTTCCTTGAAATATCTTTGATGACACAAAATGGCCATGAAAATTTTCTTGGTTTTGATCTCTGCCTGTTTTACCTTAAAAAGATAAAGAGTATTATAATGCCATATACATGGCAGTTATTTTAACAGTATCCTCACTTTAGGTTTTATCAATGGTTCACTATAGGTT